TGTAATGAATGTAATGTGTAATGCCACCCTCCCCCAAATAAAATTTGCTGATATATTACATGCTACACCCAAAGCCACCCGCTGCACAACACTAGTAAATGTAAGATGATCCTTCCTCCAATGGGAAAGTTGACAGAACAAAAATACTGAAAACTGTCTGTTGCCCTGTACACCTTCTATACCTTGCCAGCCTAGGGTTGCCAGCTCCACCCAGTACCTGTGAACAAGTGATACATTTACAGAATCCAACCTCCCCCCAAAACTACAAGCTGAGGTCTGTAACACCCCATATGCTGGTCCTGTGAAGCTCATGTAGTTCAAATGAGAGAATGAAAAGTTTTGCTATTTGGGAAAAGAACTGAGTTGGAAGAAAGCCAGCTTGGCTGTTCATCAGGGATGCTAATGTGCTAGATCAGTGCCAAATCAGGAAGAAATCAGCAGGGATGGGGAAAAGTGTTTACTCAGATACAGAACTACATATTTTCAAAAGTACCATATTAAATGTATGCAAAGAACAACAATAATCAAAGAAATACTAATAAAATAATAGGTAAATAATTAATGATATGTTGGGGTTGATGGAGAAAATCCATAAACATTCATGCATACTTAGATAGTGGTGGCATTCTTCCTCACCTACCCACTCCTTCCATCTCCCCCAAATGATCCTTATGCAGACCCTAGTGAAAGGCTTGAAGGGGGGGGGGAAACCTCTTCAGCATCAGCCCACAATTCCTTTTTGTCTTGGCTCTTAAGACTTTCCTGTTTTCTGTTTATTATGATCACCATCACCTTACTTTCTAGAAATTTGTTGGAATGAGTAGTAGAGAAATTCTTGTAACAAAGAAACAGAGCAAGCATAAGCTTGTGCCACCTTTTCATTTAAAACTCTTGTTGCTTTTAAATTCATCTTTCACCACTTAGCCCATTAATTCCCATAGGCAAAGCCAAAATGCTCCCATCCAAGCAGTACAGATGGTGTGGAGGGAGGGTAGCATAGGTGTGGTAACCTGGGCACAAAATAGAAGCATACACAGCTTCATCTTCAGATTGAGGTCAGCACAGTTCTGTATTGTCCTTTTCTTGGGAATGTTGCTGATGTTTGCTGATGTTTGTTTTTGTCTTAACTCAGTCAAAGAGGAGAAGCGAGGCAGGGGCTGCTGCTACTGACAGATTCCAACACCATTTTCATGAGTGGAGAGAGTGGCCCCTAGCCAAGTGCTGAAGAAAGTTGAAATATCCTGGCTCTAATAGCTGGCCTTCACTCCTCCAAAATTTGGTTGCTGTTCTCATAGAGGTTCCCAGTCTGCAGTTTGAGAATCCCTGACATAGTTCGTATGTTATTTTCTACTCTGCATTTGGACTGTTGCTTCTGGCAGTGATAGTATCCTGGCATGATCTACTTGGTAACATTCCTGTTATTGCTGGAGTGATAGAAAAGTCACAAAGAGACCATTGGGCCACAACAGCCATGCTATAGATTTGACCTCTGAATTGCTATCGTGACATGGTTGCTGTGGCAAAGCTGATCCTATGATCTTAGGTCTTGAGCAGAAGCCAGCTATATTGAAAAAACAAAACAAAAACCAAACAGTTGTAGATTAGAATAACGTGAAGAACACAGAAGGGATAGCAGACAATAGGAAAAGATTAGCAGGCTATGTGGGTGGTTCATTTATTCTTTTGCTATAAGGGTGCTCAATCTGTCCATCCCTCCAGGATGTCTCCTTTTTGAAAGATAAAGTAGACAATCATATCGCAGAGAAGACATTTATTTATAGTCAAAGCTATCTAAGGAATGAGAAGTAGGCATTCGCTAATCACTTGACACAGACATTACAGTTGTGTAATTCCCTGGCTTCAAAGGCTCTTTGGAAGAGAAATACCACTGCAGTTTCTAGATGAATCAGCAATTCTTGATTCAACCACACTGAAATTAATCCAGGTCTTGAGGATGAGTGCTGCTGAATCTAAAGTCACATTGGCTCTTACTGGAAAAACTAAGTATAGTATCCTGATAATAAATGCAGATATATAGGCAGCAGATTGAAAGTAATGGAAAAGATGGATAAGGAAAGGAAAAGTGAAGAGGCTATCAGTCAAGTTCAGAGACTTAAGTATGAGATACTTTTTAAAGATTTGGCACTCCCATGCCGTCACCATTTTCATTACCCAACCCCTCAAAATCAACTTGAAGACAATTGTCTTTACATGTAGCATTTCCAATTCTAAAACTAAGAAGAGTAAAAATCATTGCCCCATTCTGAGCTGCCATAGTTCCTGCATCAATAAAAAAAAAAAACCAATTTTTTTAAACTCACTGACTTAGGGTTCCAGCTTTCTGAAGAGAAAATGCTTTAACATTACGGTATTTTACATCTTATCTTTTAGTCATATTAAAGAATAATAATCAAACTGAAAATTCTTGAAAGTCATATCTGTATGATAGGTCACATGATTCTATAGTGACCCTTGTGTGACTTTTTTGGGGGCAAGAATTATAATATTTCATTTTTGTTCAAAGCATTTGGGTTCAAAATCAGAAGTATAAGTAGTGCCACCTTGGTTGTATATTTATCTTAAAAATGAATATACCTGAGTTCATAATGTCAGGAGAAAATAATGTATTGCACTGCTCTCATTTATAACAAAGTCCTGAAAGGTTTGCTGTATGCAAAGTACCCCTGGAAGCAAGCCTGTTATTTTTTCCCCAAAGTCAATGATGCGCATACATTTCAGCTTGGCCCCAACCCTCTGTTTGTGTGTTGCTATAATATAAGACTACACCAAAAAACTGAAATATTGCCCACACAGTGCTTTCTTGGAACTTGCAAACTTACTAATTAATTCCCAGTGTGATTTGTCTTAATTTCATACCTAACACAATTATATTCTAGTCAGCTTTAAATATAAGAGCTTGTGCAAAATCCAGGTGTGAACAGGCAGCCAGGGTAGGGATTTAAGGCAAGGTGCCACATAACCAGAGGTAGAACAGTGAAATTTACCAGAGTTCTGGAAGAGGAATTAAGTTTCAATGAAATACTTGTGCAGTAACCAGATGGACAACTTAGGAGAAACATATGGCCTCCAGCATCCTTTTTTGCAGTACCCGAGCACTCCAAGAGCAGCAAAATTCAGCAGCAAAATGGCTGCATTGTTACAATGTAAGAATGCAGGGTTTTCCAGGCATCAGTTTGTTCTTAATTGTGGGGATGATCTGGTTTATCCATGAGAGGTTTCCCATTCTCTAATCTTAATGCCAAACAATTGGCAAAAAAAGTCATGCCCGTTTTGGTCATATTATAGTATCACTGGATGCTGTTCAGAAGGTATATTATTATTATACACCTAGTCCTCTCTTTAACGACCACAATTGGGACCGTCAACTCCATCACTAAGCAATGTGGTCATTAAGTGAGACACCACATGACTGCAACAGACTCATGACCTCACTTCCACCATGGTCATTAAGCGAGTCACCTGTGGTTTTAAGTGAGACATCACGTGACCACAACGTGCAATCTTACTGCTGGCTTCTCCATTGGCTCTGCTCATCAGAAGCCAGTTGTGAAACACGCAAATGACAATCACATGACTGTGGGACACTGTGATGGTCGTAAGTTTGAGGACTGGTCATAAACTTACTTTTTCAGTGCTGTAACTTTGAACAGTCACTAAACAGGGCAATCGTTATTTGAGGACTACCAATTACTGTTATTGTTGGTTGCACAAAGACCTGCAAATAGAAGTAGAACAACTGTGGCAAAGGAAAGCAAAGATAGTACCGATAGTAATAGGCGCCTTGGATGCAATCTCAAAACATCTGAAGCACCACTTGAACATCACCATCATCATCATCATCATCATGAAGCTGAGTTGAGGCCCCTAGCCTTACATTGTTATTGTTGCCCACTGCTGTTGTAAAGAAAGAAGCAACATGATTTGCAAATAAACTGTACAGGACAACCAACTGAGATATAATAGTCTTTGTGCTAATTAATAGTGGAGAAATGGAATGAAAGGGGACATAAGAGAAGTTTGAACTAAAGCTTGAGATGACAGCAAAGATTTTAAATTTCATTTTGCCTTTAGAGGAATAGAACTAGGTGGAACGAACAAATTCCAGGTAAAGGTAGCTAAGTGCTACTGAAAGGATTAAGATTGGCAATATATATACAGAGAATACCATATGGTTTGTTTGGGAGTCCTTATGAAGAACTTGAAAATGAAGTGAGAATATAGGAGGAACAGTAAATCAACAGTTTAAAAAGTAACTTTTAAACATTCTGGTGTTTTTATAAACCATTAAGGAAATACAAAGTAACTGTGTAAGATCATTTGTACTTGGGTAATCCTTAAAAAGCTAAGCAGGGTCAAATTTGGTTAATACTTGGATAGGAGAGCACCAAGAGATCTTAGGGCTGTGTGCTAGACTGGGAAGTTTAAAAAACGTCTCAGAAGGAGAGAGTGATAAACAAGTATATTGTTGCCAATAATGTTTCCTTGTAATTGTGAAGAGTTGAACTCAACTTTGAAGGTTTTTTAAAAAAATTATTTGTACAAGAAAGCAACTATTTTCTCTTTTGATTGTTTCACTCTGGTTGAGATAAGAAATACTGTTTGTTTATGACAACTACATTTGGAATGTTTTTTACTCTCTAAAGTTTATGTATGTGTTTAGCCTTGTTACCCAGAGTAGTATTGGCAAGCCAGAAGAATTAGCATGTAGTAGGTAAAAAGAAAGAAGCTGCATGGTGGCAACTTAAAGGAGGAAAAGAGGAAGAGAAAAAGAGATTCTGTGGTTTCTGCTCTTTATGCACCTCTGAGATACATTATAATATTGTTTAGCTGTGTAATAAGTAGGAGCCAATTATATGAAGCAAGGAATGAGAAGAGGGTGGATTTAGGAATGGTTAAAACCCACCAACTCTTTTATTCTGGTTCAGCATGTAACTGCACGTGGACATGAGGGAAGACACCAAGTGAAGTGAGAACCAGGGATGGAGGTAGGTTAATGTACCAAGAGTTAAAGAGAACACAACACTTCAGAGAAAGTGTTTCTTCGACTTATAGTGGTCAGGCATGGGGATTGTAGCTGGCAAACTGGACCATTTGTTTGGTGGTGGAACCAGAAAGAAAATATTGTAGTGCAGAGTTTATGTGTTCACTGGTCCAATCAGTTGTGCCCTCCTTCACAACACTCCACCCACACGCAACCGCGCAACCACAGGAGTGAATCAGGATTCTGTAAGCCCCTGGCACTCCTGCTTGGGTTTTTTTCCCTCCTTCTCTTGTGCTTAATATAGTTAAAAACACTTGTCTTGAGAGAGACTGGTGTGCTTAAAATGAAACGTGGATGAATGTCTTCAGTAAAAATCTCTCTCACATTAAGAAACTTCCTATATGACGGTTTCAGTTTCATAATTCTCAAACTAATTTAATATTACAGATGGTGTCTTTAGATAAATGGTTTTTACCATTATTTTTAAGTTGGAGGTCCTGTTTTTTCAATAATTGTTCTGAAATAAATTCTAAAATTGTGGGAATTAAACAGTGAAATAACAAAATCTGTAAAGGTTAGCATGCTATTTTCATCTGCTTCAGCATCAAGCTGGTTTTATTTTTTTATTTATAAGAACTTGAGAATGAAATGCAGTTTTTCATGCTGGGATTAGCTTCTTACATTCATGTATCTGAATGGAAGTCTTAACTTTTGTAGGCTGCATATTGTGGTGCAGTCCAGAAATTTCCAATGTAGTTTTCTCCTCTGCTTCTGGAAGCGATCTCTGTTGTTCTTTTGCTGAATTGTTTCTACATTGTGATTGTCAAGAGCAGAACTTCTAGAATAACCCTAGCTTTCAGTTCCTTAGGTCTAGAGCTGAAATTAGTCCATGGTTTCCAGTTCCCTAACTGCTCATGTTTATACAAGCCAATACTTATTCAAAAAGTCTACAACTTTCAGATTCAGCGACTGCTTTGTTGTTCCTCATACCCTGATTGGCCTAGAAAACAGCATTCCCTGATCTGGAAAGCTTAACATTATGTATATTGGCTCCTCAGCACAAGTCAGATCCATTTAAAAAGGAATGCTGAAATTTCAAACATGAAACACACCATACATTCAACATGTAAAGTATGAATATGCCCCAAATTCATTAAACAACAAGGTGTACTCAAGTGATTGGCTCAAAAACAAAAACTATACTTATCAGCAGCCATGTTGAATTAGAATTATGGACAAGTCTATTTTCATGTTATTAGAGTTATTATTGATAACATTATATGAAGACATATCGTAAGCTTTTTTTCTGTATCAATTTCTAACATAACAGGCATGTGAACAGTCATGTCTTTGCAGACCTGAAAATGCAGAAGGTAAGATTTTATAACTTTGGTACAGATAAATTAAATCCTCTTAATTTATATATTAGGGCCATGCATGCTTCATTTTCGAAAAATGTTTGGACCTTGCACTAGCAAAGTACCTCTTTTGCTGCTCATTAAAGCAGCAGCAGCCTTTTTCAGACTTTAGCTTGAGCCTGAAAAAAGATGCTGGTGCTTTAATGAATCGACTTATTATAGAACTCTGAAAGCAACTTTTAAAAAGTTGGCTTGTTTTAATTAAAAGCAAAGAGCAGTATCCATATGAATCAGTTTCAAGTGTTCACAGCCCTAATGTACATGCACGAAACAGCATGCAATGGAATCTAGAATCCCATGAATACCAATGTGCCCCCAGAAAGTATATAACATCTCCTCCAGTTATTTTATTTGTAAGAGTAACTGCTATCTTCTTTTACAGAGATGTAGCAGTGTTTCTAAGGTGTTAGTCAAATTTGCTAGTTTCATAAGAAATTGTAGGATCTATATATGCACTGGCATGTGTAGCACCATTAGGTTTTCACATTGCAATCATGATATAGAAATCCCTTGAAACTCTCCTCGTGGTGCCATGAGAAATTCAGAATGTTTGAGACAGGTATCGCCAGCATCTTCAGATATAGAATACTCTTGTCCTCACAAATCAAAATGTTTCAGGTTTGGCAATCCTGTAAGATTTGGGCAGTAATAATTTAAAAAAATATTTATTTTAATTTGGGGAGCTGTGGGCATAGCGTTGCTGGACATTGGACACTTTTGACATTGGAAATTCAGGGTGGTCTACATTACAACTCTTAATTAAATCTGCAACACCCCATTCTCCAAAGAAGTTGGAAATATGAGTGGGTGTCCTTACAGATGTCCTAGGAGTGTTCACATTATATGAGTAAAGTGGCCATAGAGCAACTTTCATTCTGTAGCACAGAAATGGAAGTATAGTAACAGGGCCTTTTATTAACCCAATACAGCATTCAAAATATCCATGTTCAGCAGGATTCAAAACCCTTGTACTTGTGGTAATGAAATATTAAAAAATGCATTGAATAATGACTGACAGGCTGTTGTTCAGATTTTTATGAATGGAAACATAATTTAGGATTCCATTCAAGGTGTTGAACAATGATAATATTATAAGTCCTTCATCATGTATGTATGCATAGGCTTGCATTCAGTAGGACATGCTCCCACTAAACAGCAATAGCTCTAATTTTCCTTGAGTAAGAAATTAGATGCTGTTCAAGAAAAGAAATCATTACAGTTGCTTGAAGTTCAGGTTACAAGTATGGACTGATGGAATAGATTTCAGGCTGAACTTGAAGCTCACAGAAGAGACTTCCGGTGGGGATATGGTGGCTTAGCCATCTCTCTGCGACCAGGAAGATGACACCACAGCTGTATCAGCAGCTGGCAGTAAGTACTAGCCACCCAACTTGCTCTGGATTAAGGAGAAGCGAAGATATTGACCCATACTCTGGAGGCCATTCCTCAAAAGCTAATTACAAATATGGCAGCTTCTGCAAACAATTTTCGAGTCAAGCAGCTGGGAGGCGGGGGATCCATCTTGTTTGAAGCTGTGGTGCAGCCTTTGATGGACACTAGAGCTGACCAAACCTCCAAACACTGGATTATGACTATTTTTCAATTTAAGAGAGATCTTTCTTGCAACAGATAATAATTTTCTTGGGGCTTAGCCTTATTTTTGAGTTTATATATTTAAAAAAAGAAATAGAGTTTTAATTTTAATCTGATTAACTCGCAAAAAGCTGGACGAAAAGTTAAATTTAAAAGGGATTTAGAATCCATTTATAGCAAAAAGGGAGAAGATATATTTGTTAAAAGTTTATTTTTATGAAATTCCATCTGAATTAATTGGATTTGATTTTTCTATGGGATTTTTTGTTTTGTTTTTGTTTTTCTGCAATGTTTGTTGATTGGCTGAATTTTTAAAATAGAAGATAGTAATTTGAGCCCTCTGTGTATTTTTGGCTGGAATGTGTATGCAATTACAGTGTGAAAGGCACCAAAGGGCATGAACTGTTTGCTACTTTTACTTATACTTCCTATGGTTTTTTGCCTAAGGGGAGAAAAAGTAATAAGAAGAAAATGGTTAGAACAGGTTCTTTGGATCACCCGTCAGAGGATAAAATGACTTCTTTAAGGCTACTCCAATCAATGTTTGATGAATTAGGAGCTAGATTCAAGTCCCTTGAAAAAAAGATAGAGGAAAAGGTAAATAAGAGGGTTAATTTTGAAATGCAAGGGGATATTAACTTGAAAGGGAATTTGGAGTTCTAAAAAATCCAGGATATTGAAGGTGGCATGAATAACAAAGTTGTGGACTTAAAAATGCCGGAGAATAAGAGTAATATGAAAAAGGATGCCAGAATGAATCTACAAGTGAAATCAACTGTAGTCACAATGATTAAAGGGGACATACAAAGAATGGAAAATAAGACGACTGACCTGGAAAGACGTTTTAATCTGGATTCACAAGAGGAATGTGCTGAATTGCTGAGGCTGTTCCTGAGAAGAGATAAAGAGAACTTACTGGAGCTGTTTGTGGGAAAAGATAAGGACAGAAAGATAGGGAATCAACTTGTGGGACATTATTTGAAAGGATTAAAGATTAAGCTTTTCAGAAGTAAATAGAAGGTTTACAAAGTTAACTTAGTTGATGATGGTTTATATATAGATTGAGATTCTGGGATGTTATTAATGGGATTTCTTTTTTTTAATCAGGATTGAATAACAAGGTTTTAAGGATTTGTGTATAATGATTAAAGTTAAAATATATTTGTTACTAAATTTATTAATTTTTGTTTTTATATATGACAACATGGTAAAGTTGATGGAGCTGGTTGAGATGGAGAAATTGATGGTTTTGATTCGAGATAAGACATTGTATAATTTTAATGCTAATTGGAAACCTTTTTTGGACTCTGCAGGAAAGAGAAAAAATGAAAATATATTGTATGGATTTGATAATTAGAAATAATATAAATTAATATAAATAAGTTTTATTGTAACCTTAGAAAAAGAGCTTGATGTATATTGTTACTTATATCTGTTATAAGGAAGGTTGGAAGTCAATTCTTTTTTTTCCTTTTTTTTTCTTGTTTTTCACACTTTTAATCTTGACTATTTCTCTTTTCCAATCTTTCTCTTTCTATCTTCTTTCTTAATATTAGTTCTTGTTAGTTTTTACTGTTCTTTGTTAAAAAATTAATACACTTATTAAAAAAGCTCACAGAAGAAAATGGTATACATGAACTTTTGACAAAATTAAATGAAGTTTTAACAAGAGTAACATATAATATTCTTAAATGTATCTTGCATTAAATATTTTGTACCATGGCTATAGGAACTCATAGCAATGAGCAGTTAGTCTGCTTATGAGCTGCTATTCCAAGGTAAGAGAGTTCCAGTTAAAAATTTACTTACTTTAAGAAAAAAAAAAACTTAGACTGCAAGCCTATATTTGAGTGTAAATTTCAGTGATTCCAATAGAATTGCTCTGTAACTCAGGGTTGAACTGTGGAGTCCTTGGTGCTCTCTGAGCTTGGTTGTTTGCTTGCAGACCTTTCATTACTCAAATAGGTAACATCGTCAGTCCAAGTAAGTGCGGGGTTTGCTCCCTGTTTATATACTGTAGCTTTCCCTGCCAGTTGGTGGAGGTGTGGTAGTTCTTTGATAAGGGTATTGTCCTTGGGTATTGTTTTCTGCTGATTGTTTGCCTGGTGTTAATCCCTACTTATCTGGGTGTTGGCTGCTGGAGAGGAAATGTTCTGGTCTTTTTATTTCCTTCAGAACCAATTTCAGAAAGCACCAAGGACTCCACAGATTTCATTGAACTCAGTGAGGGTTTTTTCCTTGCAGAGACCTATAAGATTGTACTGTAATTTTGTAATAAATGTGATTGATTTTACAAAATTATGTATGCTTTGCAGTTTTCTACTACTATTTGAAAATATTTACATTTTAATTTAGGTTTTACCGAAGACTTGAAGAAATCAAACATAATTTTTGTACTCGGTGAGTAACAAAAGGCATGTCCACCTGTACCCATTATATGCATAAAATAAACCTTTTGACAGGTACTAATGAGCTGCATAAATTTGTCTAAATATGGTGTCTTTTTTAGATTTGCCAGGATAAGAACCACTGATAGTTAAACATCTCAGAGATACTCATAATCAAGACAGTTAGATGATTGAAAAAAACCTGTCAGGAAATTGTCAGAAAAATTATGTAACACTGTAAAGAAGAAACTTCAGAATTACTAATTGGGTTATTTAATTAGTATCCTAATTAGTAGATGTTTCGGCCAGGTTTCTTCCTGCCCAAGACATGCACATATACGTATAGATAACCGCCAGAATGGTGTCATGGGTAAGGTGCTGGACTAGGAGCGGGGAAACACAGGTTCTAGTCCTTTCTTGGCACAGAAACCAGCTGGGTGACTTTGAGCCAGTCACTCTCTCTCGTCCCTAAACTGGGATGTTGAAAAACATGTATCAACCAACCTGCACTAGGCCAGTGTGGTAGATTATGGTCCAGAACCTTCAATGTAGAGGCCTTAATCTTGAAGTGGAATGATATAGGCTGGTAATAATAATAATAATAATAATAATAATAATAATAATAATGATGCATATACATATACATACTCACAAACATATGTTGGTATATGAGTATGTGTGTGAGTGTATGCAAAACTCACCCACCCTAAAATACTGTTTTTCTTTCTACATTCTGTTACCTAGAGTACTAAACCAATAGTGCAGATGGGATTGCTCATGAATCTAAAAAAGATTAAATGTAACTACATGTGGGGCAAAATGAGAGAACCATACTATTACTCAGAAAAAAAAGGATGTTGTGAATATCAGTTGGTTTTGTAGCTTAACTATAAATTTGAACCAAGCCCTAGAAAAGCAAGATCTCTTTGGCAGTTGAGAATATAGGACTCCTGTCCATTATTCATCATCTGATGGCATGCATAGAAGTGATTGTGTTCTCTTTAGTGATTTAGTCACACATGGAAAGAATCACTTGATTCTGCAAGTCATCAGTGACACAAATATTCCTGTCTGGGAGAAGGAGAATAAACTTACAACATATAACCAAGAAAATCCTGAGAAGCTTCATTCTCAATCTGAAGCTGATAGGAATATGCTGAAAACACACCCCACTAGTATCAATGCTGAATTTCTCCCAGTTGTTAATCATGTTTTGGAGCTGATTAAGAGAAAACAAGCTCTTTGCAATACTAAAATTCATGCAAACTCTTAAAAACATGAAGAAATTGCTATAGCAATCAGGCAGGCATCATGAAGGAGAATATGCAGCATTTTAAAAAAATAATACCTGCAATAGAAGAGTTATTAAACATCTGCAACACATTTGTTTTTTCATAAACTGGAACAAAATAAATTATTTCATTGGAAACCCATGTTCTAACTCTCAAGAGTTGGAAGAATACACAGGTAGTCCTCATTCAGCAACCACTTGTTTAGTGACCAGATAAACCCAAGGAAGCGGGAGAACAAACATCACTTAATCTCATATAGCCACCTTGCAGGCTGTCTGGTAACCCCAAGGCTGGTGAAAAAAAACATGTTTTAAGGGCCTTCCAGAAGGCTAACAGAGATGGGGCTAACTTCACCTCACCTCACCTCATCTCAGGGAGAATGATGTTCAAGAAGGCTGGAGCCATAGCAGAAAAGACACGCCGCCTGGGTCCTGCCAGATGGAGCTCCTTTGGAGACGGGACCCACAGCATACACCTCCTGCCTGACCTGGTTTTGCTGTTAATGTCTATTCATGTCTGGTTTTTGCTTCGCATTAAGCCCAGTTGTCAAGGATTACACTGTTAATTGTTTTCTGAATAGTTCTACAATGTACTTTGGTCAAATAATAATTATTAATATTTAGTCATTTTAATTGTAACGGTTTCAGCCAGTAAAATTATAAACTGCAACAACTGATATTTTGATATGCTGTTCACTTGAATTTTTGCTTTTGTGTCTCACTAGCAATCTTTTGCCATGTGAAGCTACCTGTACAGGTAGTCCTCGGGTTACAGTGGCAGTTGGGATGAGGATTGCTGTTGCTAAGCAATGCAGTTGTAAAGTGCAATGTCACATGACTGCATCACTTAGCAACAGCTATCCAGGCAGGGGATGCTGCCGTGCAGTGCCAGCGCAGGGAGGCCAAGGGAACAAGAGTGTGGCACGGTGTGAGTGCAAGGAGGCTGAGGGAAGGAGGGTGCAGTGCGGTGCGCAGGGTGGTGCGGGGGGGGGGAGACTTACCAGAGCGACTTGCAACCTTCCCTGCTGGCTTCCCCATTGACTTTGCTTGTGAGAAGCTGGCAGGGAAGGTCACAAATGAAGATCATGTGACCGCAGGACACTGCAATTATCATAAGTGCAAGCTGGTTGCCAAGTGCTCACATCACAATGATGTGACCACAGGGGCACTATGATGGCTGGAACTTCAAGGACCACTCATAAGTACTACTCGTTCAGTGCTGTCGCAACTTCAAATAATCGCTGAACGAATGATTGGTAAGCAAGGACTACCTGTAGCTTTTGCAGAAGTGACTGGTCTTGAGAAGGCTTATAGCATGTTTTGTTATAACAGTTTGCCAATGCTGATTCACTTCTAGTCTCCTAGGATCCCTGCTAGCTTCTAGCAATCAGTACTGCTTGGGAACCAAGGCAATTGTAGTCCTGTTATTTCCCTGGAGGGCCTCAGATTGAGGAAGTCTAGTGTAAAGTATCAGAACGCTTTCACCAAAATGCAAAACCATTATTATATTGTTTCTTTGTAGAAAGAAACAATATGTCTCATTCTCATGAGTCCAGATCTCTGTTGAGCTGCAGAGGGTTTTTTAAATGACTTTGGCCAATCATTAAGTCCCTACCTAAAATACCTCACAAAATGTGAAGGTAAAGGAATATAGTCAATGCCCCTTTCAGTTCTAGATAGATAGCATAATAACCGTGACAATAAATTCAGGTGAAGTTCCTTTCAGAACTTCATCTGGGAAAGTTGAGGAGAAAACAGAATTTTTGAGGGTTGTACACAGGTCTCCCTCCCCTTCACAGATACAGCTGAATAATTTGTGGATCAGAATAGTGTTAGTAGAATTCTCCTTAACGCTGAAAAAGCAAACATTTATTTGGAGTTTTTAAAAAGTTAATATTAAATTCCACAATATTTTTGAATAATATTTGTTGTATCATTCATATGATTTTGTCAAGTGGTGCAACTCAAGACTTTATTTATTTAGAAGATTTCTGTCCCATTTCTGTAAATTAGATTTATAAGTTTTTCCTGCAGGAGCTCAAGGTGACATTAACAGTATTTTCTTCTGATTTTTCCCTTGGCAAGCCTGAGAGATAATCTGTTCTGAAACCAAGTTTCCCAGTACGTTTCATGGCACAGGATGGACTAGAAGCTTGATCTCCTCAAGCTGAGTAGAATTCTGTAGCTCCCAAACAATATGGAGAAAAACCTCCAATCTTCAGTAAAAATCAACTGAATGAGTTTAAACACACAAAGGCAGTTATGTCCAAAATATTAAGGTAGGAAGACCAGGATCAAACTTGGGAGGGTGGAAGGTGAATCTCAATGGTTCTTGGGTGCCATGATAGTACAGAGAAGCTGGTGCCATGGAGAAGTTGATGTCATTGATGCTGCATTGCAGTGTATGCCATTCTCTTGATTTACCATAATCATGACTGTAAAAAGAAGAAAAGGTATTTTGTTAGACAATGGTTGAATAAAACAGTTCTAAATACTCTGCCCCCTCCAGTTATATGGCTGGTTCCATTTGCATGTTTCTGGAGAAAAGAAACAGGCTGCTGCTATAGAATAGACCTGTCAGTCAGTTGCTCTTTGCCTTCATATGTAATAGGCAGATTTACAAATGAAAAGATGATCTCTCAGATATCTTGGCCCCAAGCCATTTGCAGCTGTAAAAGACAAAACATGCAGTTTGAATGGTGCTCAGAAATAAACTCAAAGCCCCTGAATCTTTGGAATGGGGGCAAGGGGTATTTATTAAGCTGGAATGATTGTATCAGTGATTTCATAGGGCTCTATTATAGAGGGAAATTTAAAAATCGTAAGCTGTTGACTATTTATTTACTTATTTGCTGCAAAAGAAGAAACCAGTTAAGTAAACATCTAGCAATAACCTGTGGATATAGATGAATTAAACAAGTTGTCTCTGATTTCATTACACAATGTCAGTTAATTAGTAGCATCGAACCCTGTCCTATCTTGATGATGATGCTTTGCCCAGGCAAGGAATACAGACCTAGAAGGGCAGTCATGAAGTACTGTTGCCCACCCACAGTGGAACAAACCTTCTGATAATTTCCTCGATCTTCTTGTGTAAGCAAGGGCATCTCTGTCCCTGGCAATATACCACAGACAGACCAATCTGTACTTGGATATGTTTCCCCCCTCTTTTGTATGGCAGAGGATATTTCCTCCACTGTTTATCTACTGCTGGCAGCTGTCTGATAAATGTGGATGCAAAAAGGAGCATGTTTCCAGAAGCTGGTCCTTCCTCTCTTTCAGTGCTCTGAAGGGTCCATGAAAGTGCCTTTTGCTAACTGCTTAAAACAAAAGTGGTCAGCCCGTGGACCCTCATGCAGGCCCCCTGTGTTTTGGTGTTGTCCCTGGAACTGCCAAAATTCAACAGTGGGGAAACGATGATGATTTATAAAGGGGGATATTAGTGACAGAGAAGCAAGTGAGGGGCCACAGAAGACAAGGCAATGATATTGTGAGATCATTCGAGTGAGGCTGAATTAGGGAGAGTTAGTTTTTTTTAAGCTAATTTTTCAGGCACATAAAAACAACCTAAAAGTGTTTATGCCCATTTGGTTTTAAATTTGGGGAGCGGCAAAGGGAGAGAGAGAGAATGTCAAGTGATAATAGGAAACCGTTTTTTGCATAGATGTCCAGCATGTTTTGGTCAATACCTCAGACTGAATATTTTCCCAATTTGTTCCTTC